ATAACTATATGCCCACAATATGGGATTTATGAGCTTGATTTGAACAACAATAAAATTTGTGTTTCGTATAACCTATTTTTTAAGCTAGCAGAAAGTTGCTTAAGTGCAATGATCTATGCATGTAATGAGCCTCTTACTGGCTTAGTAGCCTAGTGTATGAGTTTTTAGTAAGTACTAATATTACAAGTTGATTTTGGTGGATGTTTTGTGATACACGAAAAAGGTTTTGTTGCTTGTTTGCATCTTTTTTTTTTTTTTGGTGTGATCTGGCAGGTTTAAATGATGCAATAATCATTTTAGAACCACCTTGGTTTGGCTAGTTGTGGGTATTGTACTTTTGTATAGCCATCTATACCTGTTAAGTTGCATGTGGTGGCAAAACTGTATCATCTTGAATTACATCTTTTGCTTCTGCTTATACTATCTCGATCATACTTTTTCTTCTTCAATGGTAACAGAAACAAATCGAAGCTGGGAAAAAGCATCTTTGTTCTGTAGTTTATGGTTCATTGCCGCCTGAGACTCGAACAAGACAGGTTTAAGTTTCTCTCTCTGAGTGTCTAACTAGAATAGGATTTCTGATCCTCTTGCTACAAGCCTAACTTGATCACTAGCAATTGCAATTGTTGTCATCTGCACAACTTTATTTATTTCTTTTTCTGTTTAATTATTAGCTGAAAGGGATTTTCTGTCACCTAGTTATTGTCCTATCTGGAGTCCTTTGCAATAGAAATATTTACTTTTTTTTTATTTCTCCTATACTGGACACAATTTACTATCCTTCAAAGTTTGAAGTTTATGGTTTATCAAACGAGCATATCAGTGTAAATCTATGATATGGACTGCAATATTTTATTTGATAGCATCTTTTCTTGCCAAAATCAATATGCTTCTTTAGATGATGATCATTCTTTTTTCTGCTACTAATAAATTAGCAATCAGCTGAGCTAATATATTTATCAGAATTGCAGGCAACCAGGTTCAACGATGCTGAAAGTGACTTTGATGTTCTTGTAGCTAGTGATGCTATTGGGATGGGTCTTAATCTTAACATCTCTAGAATCATATTTTCAAAGTTGGAAAAATTTGATGGTATGGAGACACGGGAACTTACTGTTCCAGAGATCAAACAAATTGCAGGTATGTGACACAAACTGCCTGATTTATGTTCTATTTTACCATCAATGTCAATCTTAATATATGCGCAGGATTTTAGTAATAGTTTTAGTCTTGCATCTTTCTGAGGGTGGCGTATTAAAACAAACCGAAATTGGAGGAAGATTGTTCATGTGCTGGTTATTGTTCTTTCTGTTCATGTTTTAATAATCAGCAATAATCATTTGCTTTTGCTTTATGATTAAATGGAGAAATAACCATGCACATTATCACCCCTGTGTGTCTGTCATGTGCAAGTGTGAGGCTAGGGAAATTTGTACTGTTGCTGTCAAATACTTCAGATATATGGATTCATATTTATCTGCAAGCATGCGTGCATACATTCATACATAGCCAATATCCATAGTGCATGAGTACATAGAGAGAGGGAAAGAGCAGAAGAACGAGAGAGAGAGAGAGCAATAAGAACCTAGAGTTCAGAATTTTTTTGTTGTAACCAGTTGATTGCTTCAACAGTAATAAGATTAGGATAGGTCCATGGGGATAGTTATTGCAACTTGTACTTATCTATTGCTTGTTGCTGTTTCTTGGCAGGAAGAGCTGGTAGGTATGGATCCAAATTTCCAGTTGGTGAAGTAACTTGTCTAGATGCAGAAGATCTGCCCCTCCTTCATTCATCCCTAAATTCTCCGTCTCCAATTTTGGAGGTGTTGGAATTTTCTGAACTATGCATCAGTCTTTGTTTATCTTTGGCTATTGTTAAGCACTCTACATTTAAATATGGTATAGATGACTAAGTTAATTGTGCTTTGTGATCCAGAGAGCAGGATTATTTCCAAGCTTTGACCTTTTGTTGATGTATTCTCGTCTTCATCCTAAGCACAGTCTATACCAGATTTTGGTAGGCACCTCCTCTCTCTCTCTCTCGCTCTCTCTGTCTTATGTAGGTTATGAATGTCTTGAAAAGTTTTTTGCTTGTGAATTATTACTTAAAAAAGTGTACTTTTATCTAAATTGTTGATAGTAATGTAAAAAAAAGGTTATTCACTTTAGATGATTGATCACCTTATTTCCTTCTGCCTCATTTTTTTGGTTTTCTCTTTCCTTGCAGGAACATTTTGCAGAGAATGCCAAGTTATCTGCAAACTACTTCATCGCAAATTGTGAAGAAATGTTGGTAAGTAATTTCTCTCTCGTTTTCTTTCTCTTTCCTTTTGTAGTTGTTCAAGGTCCATTTTGACTTTTTTGTTGTGTTTTGGATTGGTTTTCTTCAAACTTTGATTTGCTGAAAATATCTTTCTTGAAACAGAAAGTTGCTGCTGTTATTGATGAGCTACCCTTGAACTGGATGATAAGTATCTCTTTTGTATGAGGTAATGCCTTTCTTTCCTTAGCCAGAAATTTTATTCCATTTTACTTCTGAAAACTTTTTTAACCTTTTGTTTCTTGTTGCTACTTTTACAGAGTTCCACTCTACTTCTAGTTTGTATACATTTTGCCCAAATTCGAAACTGAAACCTTATCTTGAACAAGCTAGATTTTGATTAAGAAAAGTAAAGTAGTTGCATGTAATTTGGTTTAGTTTCATGAAATCATGCAGTAAAAATAATGAGTTGTGCTTTTGTAGCCCAGTTGACGGATGATTACATCTCATCTCAGGGCCTTACACAGGTAACTTTCTTTTTAGTTATTGAATAGCTAAACTTGCTTGTTTTGATGGAAAAACTTATTCAACCCTTTTGTGGTTGACAGTTTGCTCACAATTATTCTCAACGTGGCATTGTCCGGCTTAAGGAGATATTTACCCCAGGAACATTGAAGGTGCCAAAAACCCACACTGCTCTTAAGGAGTTGGAATCTATTCACAAGGTTAGGGTGTATGGTTTTCTAAAGTTTGAGAGATAAACATGAACAGATTAAACTTTTAGAGCTGTAGAAGATCCTATAGTGCCTGCAATACCGCACAAAAGTACTCAGCCTCTTTGCCATCATTTCAATGTTGTAGCAACTGCATATGCTAAGTTTAGTTTCCATGGATGTCTGAAGGTTTTAGACCTCTATGTTTGGTTGAGTTTTCGGCTCGAAGATAGCTTCCCAGATCGTGAACTGGCGTCTTCACAGAAGAGCATTTGCAGCTTGTGAGTATTGTTAACTAATTTTGTAGCTACTTGCCTTCCATGTAGTTCATTAGCATATCACTTTTCGCTGCATTTTAGGTTGATCGAGGAATTTTTGGAAAGACTTGGGTGGCAGAAGCCAAAGTCCAGAAAGTTATCTCGATATAGTGCCTTCAATTCTTTATTATCTGCGGAAATGAGACAGCATCTTTGAGTTTCCTTGCCCCTGGAGTTAATGATCCTCAGGCTTAGAATTCCTGGAAAGGCTGATCTCGGGTCATTAGAATTGACACTTCTCCCTCTCCAGTCTCCTCCCGCGTGCAATATTCTGTATCTTCATGTTGCTCTTATTCATACTGTTGGTTTTCCGTTTCTAACCTTTTTGACTACATTGGATTGGATTAGAGTTCTACCCGTGGTTCTTCAAAAAGGGCAAAGCGAGGAATTTGGACGCAGTCACAGTTGTATAATAATTAGTTATAATGTGCTGTTAATACTTTTATCCTATTCATTGTACATGTGTATCATCAGTATTCTTGCACGCAAAATAGCTATAGAATAGTTTGGAAAGGTAGTCCTGCAAAAGCATTTGAAGCAAAGTTTGAATGATGTATCACCAACTGCTCGTCAGATGTAACATGGGATCATCCTGGAATATAACTCATTGCAGCCCACGATTCATTGCCATTTTCGTTGTTAAATTGAGTTTTCATTTTCGCCTGCAGCAAACTGTTTGAAAGTGTGACATTTTTAGCCGAAGTTCAGTAGTATTAGAGCCTTTTTGTGTGTCTTTTAAATGACAGAAGTTGACTTCAGCACCAGACTGCATCTTCTGCTCGTCTTTAAAGTCCATTCCCTCCTCTTCTAAAGCACTGAACATTCATGACATCATAGTACTCGTTGCTTTTTCTTGTATTTATTTTGTTTTATTTCGGTTAAAGTAGTTCCCGTAGGATATAAAGCATAGACATTTATCATGCTACTGATATGTAACAGTAACAGATTATCAATGCACTCATCTTTGGTTGAAGAATCAAAACAGAATACAGTCCAAAAGATAGGCCTTGTACGGTGTCAGCTGGGGAAGTTTTTTGTTTCTTGAAAAAACACTTTAATAAGCTAAAAACAGAGGCCCCTCGCTTCTGTCTTCAACAGAAGAAGATGCTCACGGTTGAAACTTTTCATCATTTTACTGATTTTACACCTACGATCTCAAGGAAAACATATGTCCACAACAGAGACTTCTGTTCCTTTTGAGCGAAAAACAGACAAGAAGATAGTCATCGCAATTCATTTTCCTTATGGGGTTATTCATAGTGTAAGGTCCCGGCCAGCAAAATGGAGGAGGCTTCCATAAACAATATATTATGTGACAGACAAGAAGATATTCAAGCTATTTCATTCTGACAAATGACATTGCATTTAAATTCTACATAATTAGTAACTACTTTCAGTAGCAGGACATATCAGGTTGCAAAATCGATACTTTTTGGCTCTAAACTTTTTGCCGATAGAGTTCTCTCACTTTTCTAATTTTCACAATTGTCTTTTTCAAAGGAAGATGGATCAGAAGCTGAATTCTCCTTGATCTTAAAGAGTTGAGCACAGGAGGAATTACATCACATGTTGGCTTTTCCAGTTCTGATTGGCAATACTTGCTGCTAAGTTTGTAGCTGTGATACTTTGCATCTCAGGTAAATGAAGAAAAGAAAGACTGCCATTCAGGTTTTTTTTTTTTTTTCAAATCACTTACAGATGCCAAAGCATTCATTCCTGAACCTGAATAAAGCTCTTAGAAGAATCAATAGATCCTTGTACTTTAGCCTGTAGCATCAGTTCTTCAATCCTTTCTTTTTCTTTCTCCATACCCTTCTCCTGAAGTCCCTTCACAAGCTTTGTGTACATGGCATCTGTAGGAACAAAACCTCTCTTCACTGATTCCTCAAAAAATGAACAAGCACGATTTAGGTTCCCATGTGCACAGAGCCCACTCACCAGAAGTGTATATGTTCCCAGATCAAAGCTGATATTATTCTTAAACATGTGCCTCAACAGAAAGGAAAGCACCTTCATTCTTCTCAATCTACAGCACATCTTTAACAATGGCGCATAAGTTTGAAGATCAGGCTTGCATTGCCTCTCCTCCATTTGTTTAAGCAGCATTAAGGCATCCAATTCTTCAGAGTGCCGTGCAGAAGCAGCAATCATTGTGTTATATGTCAATGTATCCGGATCAACTCCTTGCTTAGCCATATCCTCAAATAGTTCACGAGCATCCTTCAGTCTCCCGGATTTACTTAAATTTTCAATCAAAGTGCTATAAAATGAACTATCAGGAACACAACCATTCTGATTCATCATCTCATAAATTCTAAGGCTCTATTCATTTCCTTTGCCTTCCCAAGTGCAGTCACTATAATGGTGTATGTCACCACAGAAGGCATAAGTCCTAGCTCCTGCATAGCCTTTAACTTACGGTCAACTTTCCGAAAATCTTTATCACGACAATATAATTCAATAAAGCAAGTGTATGTGACCACATCAGGATTAAAACCATGTCTTTTCATCTTGCCCACGGTCTTCCTAGCTTCTCCTAGTTTCCTAGCTCTGCACCAGCCATGGACTAACATGTTAAAAGTAGAAGCATTTGGAGATACAATATCCTTATATTCTAAGATGACTTCTTCAGCATGCTCAACTCCTCGATCCTTAATCAAAGCATCTACCAAAATATTCAATGCATAAATATCCTTGGGCACTCCATATTGGTCCAATTTCTAAACACATCTATAGCATCAACGAGGCCTTTGCAAGTCTTCTTATGACTTTACTTATCGTAACCAATGTAATGCAACCTTCCAACTGCCGCATTTCTTCCACCAAATCAAACATGAGATCAAATTTCCTCAATTTCCCCAAATTATCAACACATCAAAATATACAACTCAGGTGACAACTTAAAACCTCCCTGTAATTTGGCCCACCTAAAAAACCCCAAACACGGAATCCAATCAAAACTGAATCTTTCCAAAATTTGCTTAACCAAATCCTCTGTTACATCAACTCTACAACCATTTAATGCTTCTAGAACAGCATCCGTGATTTAAACTCACTTTTCAGAATCTTACTAATCTTTTTCACTATCTGACAAATCACCTACTTTGCTTTCAGTATCAACTCCTGGGCGATGAAGCTCGTGACTGTCAATCCAATCTGAGACTGAGGGGAGCACAAAATTCCTCATCTTCTACATTATTCACCTCGTTGTTTGAAGATTTAACCCAATGTGGAAGTCCAGGAGACTCAACAGTCACAACAACCGAATCTTCAACTTGAACTGACTCAGCCACAGTGCAAAAGGGATTCCACAAGAAATGATTCCCATCAGATACATATCTAACGTCTGTAGTAAACCTAGAAGAACTTATTCGAGCTCTAAAGTGCCAAAAAGTGGAAAAGCCTCAATCTTGATGGCATTTTCCAGTAACCTACAAACAGCAAACCACAAACAATTCAAGCAAAACCAAGAAAAGGGTACTTCTTTATAGCATCCTGAAGTTTATCTATTGATCATATTATCAGAGAAGAGCAAATGTTCTTCTTACATAATCCGGCAGCAAAAACAAATAGAAATGCGGAAAGGACATAGGTGAAAAACGACTCTATTTGGGTTCCCTGCCGCCAAAACACCTATATATCTATGCATACAAACGCTAAAAACTAAAAGGGAATTTAGCAATTCGAGTTGCTTGATGATTATTTATGCGTTTGCATCACATGGGTTTGTACAGAGAGTCAAAAATGCGCACAGCACATAGCAAAAACAATCTCCATAATGAAATAACAGTAGTGTGAGAATTGAGAAAGAGGTAAAAAGTGAGAGGGAGCTTAACCTTGCTTGTAATCACCCCGAAGAAGACAAAAAGAGGCAGGACACCCAAGGCAAAAAAGGAGCAAGGGGAAAACTGAAAATGAACCGATGTGGTAAAATAAAATACGTTTTTGGGGTTTGGCCCTTTGGTCCTCAGTTTTGGCAGGGTTTAGCGTTTACTAGTAATGTTGAAGTGTGAATAATTATTTCTTTTATTTTTAGTTTATTATTATTATTAATATGTTAATTATCATCAGTATTTTTTTTTGGTTGTGTGATATTTGATGGAAAACGGTTTAATACTAATGATTATTTCTTGTGACGTTTGATAATAACTAATTCTAATTCCATTACTTGAACAGGAAATAGTCAAATTATACTCTTTTTTTAAAATTGAAAAAATATATAGTAATAAAGTACGTAAGATTTATTTGTTGTTTAATTTCCATGTAACTAATTTGTCAAAAAGCCCTTTTCTGTATCGTACAAAAAATACAGAACATGTTAAGCTAATAAAGTGATGCAATACTACCCAATTAAGACGAGCACCGGTTGAATTAATTGTCTTTGCACTTGCTAGATTCAACCAGCCATCAGAACAGGAGTCGGCGGTAGTCCGGTTAATTAAGTTGGGCCCGAGGCCAGACTTCTATTCTCAGACGTGCTGTTCATGTAAGAATTTACATGAATAATTTTGCACTGAAATTTTAATCATACTTAAGGAAAAGCTTTTATTATTTCAAAACTCATGTATCATACGTCTCCTCACAGGCCAAAAAGTTTGGATCATAAGCGTCCGAACTGCATAATATATCCTTTCCATTCTTTACAATGTAAGTATCGCTATGTATGCAACCATGGAACCAAAACAACAAAAAAAGGTCGCAAGTTCAACTCCTCTGCATGTGACACCTTGAAAAGTTTTGGGCGTAACTCTTAACTTTCGAGTAAGAGATTTGAGCTGATCCTTCACCCTCGAATAAGAATCAAATTCTACGGACGCTCTCCGGACCGAATTCAGATTAGTCTTACTGAAGGTAGGAATACCAGGAGGTCAAAGTAAGAAAAAAAACAACAACCTGAGAGTTAATTAACATTTATTTAGGCGTGAAGCATACACATGGAGATAGGACTAGGCCTTGCCTAGTCTTGCTGGTTATGAAAATAAGACTTGGAATTTCAGGGTGCTACAAAATCTAAGGAGTCTTGTTGGCTAGATAGAGATTTAGAGATTGCTCTGATGGTGTTCGGAGTGGTCCTGCAACAACCTCCGATGAGAGAGGCCCCCGAGTCGTGCCATTTCCCAACGTAGGATACAAAATCTCCATCTGCAACCCCTGTTGTAGGCTACAGGAAGAAGAAACAATGAATTTTAGCTTCCAGTTGCAGCTATAAGATTCAGTAATTTGACAAATTCGGATGTCTCAGAGGTGTTATGAAGAAATTATATGACATACAGTCGAACTATCCCCATAAACTTCACACATTCAGTAACCAGGTTTGATGTGTAGAACAGACACAGATAAAACAATGCCCATGAAACTGAAAAATTGATTTAGAGATATGAAAGCCTGTTGTGCTAATTGCTTGCAGTCACATGACCAAAGTTTCACCTATCGAGAAAACATGAAAGAGCTCTTCTACAGACCAAGCTACTCACCACCCATTCCTTTCTGTCAGGATCATAAGTTTCACCACTGTTCGGATATATCAGGATCGGTTTAGTAGTGACCTGCAGCAATATTAGCAAGTAAAGCAATAAGTTCCCAATACATAAATGGACATCCAAGATTTTTGATTTCTAATTTATTGATGCAATGGAGATACGATATGTCTAATAATCATGATCCAGAATTGGTTTCTCTAATGAGAATTCTTAGAAACCTGAAAAAAAAGATGTTGTGATTAAAAGACTGCAATTAGAACTAAGACAAGACAACAAAGCTACCTGGATTTCCCAAGAGAATTAAAGCCAATGTTCCTAATTAAATTTTATTATCAAATTCAATTTCATTCATTTCAAATGCATCCTAGAATTGGTTATACCTTCTTGATTGATCGGACAAGTCCATCAATATATCTAGGAGCAGTGCAGTTGATTCCAACAGCAACAACTCGATCACATGAATCAGCAATTGCAGCACAATCTGAAATAGGATCCCCACTAACTACATTGATCCCATCCTTAGAATTGAAAGAAAACCAGGCCGGAATTTTTATGTTCTCTTCCTCGAGAATCTCAGCATAGGCCTATATAAAGAAGCAATCAGACAAAATAGACAGCAAAACATCTAAATTGCTCCAGCAAAAGAAATGTTTGAGGTACACCGAGATAGTCACAACTCAAAAAACAATACCATAGCTTCCAATTTGTTTGGAATTGTCTCAAATGCAATCAGGTCAGCACCAGAGTCAGCAAGAACCTGAACTCTTCTTCTATGGAAATCTTTCAAAGTCTCCAGAGTCACCGCATCCCCATATATGCCACTGCAATGCATGAGAAGGTCACAAGTGTTCAAGAGGAAAAGTTTCTAGCACAAGTTCAAACATTTCAATTCAGTATTTGGGCACTGAAATACGACTCTGCTTCCAATGTAAGAAGAGAATTAAAAGATTCACCTATATTCAGAGCCATCAGCAAGATAAGCTCCATAGCTTCCAACAGAAGCAGCAACAAGGAGTGGACGTTTTAAAGCTTTTGGATCACCAATAACATCCCAAGAACCTTTGCTGGCTCTATCACAATATATATCCCGTGCCTCGCGTGCTATTTCAACACTTTTCCTCAGTAAAGCTTCACCTTCTTCTCTTGATATCCCCTTAGCTACAAATCCCTGAAGAGTAGCCTGTCTCCCAAACAAGACAATTCAAAAGTCCCAAACTTCATGATAACTTCTTTCAATAACAATCAAACGATATCTTTAGGAACGCCCGAAAAAAGGGAAAAATCAAAAAAAGACAGCCATATAACCTGATATGAAGCAGATATTATGATATTAGCACCAGCTTCAAGGTAATCAAGGTGTACCTGTCACGTGAAGCAAACAATAAAGAATAAAACAAGAAAACCTCATGGCCAAGTTGCTGATATTTAATCGCAGTTGAAAGAATATGGCCGAATTCATGCAACTTTTAAGCTGGCTACTTATGGCCATCATTAAAATTAGCAGACTTGGTGAATAGTTTCTTTGTCTCATCACTGGTAGCAATTCAGTTCCGCTCTGTAACTAAGAGCCAGTAGAGTCTTATCTCTTGTAGAAATGATAATTCTTGATAAAACAGAATACGAGTTCCAAGTGCAGAAGCAGCTGGGACCTGTGGACCTACTTTGAATCCTAAACTTGCCAACCTTAACAAATAACAAGGTCAAGCATTAAAGCATCCTAAACGAGTTATCCCACTACGCTCACGACACATATAAATGTGAATATATTGGCAATAGAGTTCAGTGAAAACAAGTTGTTCCTACCAATTCAACCAGAAATCAAATGACCTGTACACTGTAATTGAGTACATTTCACTTCCCATTGATCAATTTTTCTGAAAAGTATTGCCTATTTAACAGAGAAGGGAAAAAAAAAAGCACCCCAAAAACAACACATACACCCACAGGCAGTTAACAGGGAGGCAGAGAGAGTACTCTTCTGATGAGGTGAGGGGAAGTCATGAGACATTTGGCACTCCATAGAGGATCATTGAGGTCAGCACCATGACGTTCAAGTTCTGTAGCAAGACCACCATCTATGACTGCATAACCACCACACTGGCGGAGCAAATCAGTTATTGCTGCTGATGATTCAACCATTCTCCTCTACCCCTATCAAGGATTTAGTCAACTAAATATGGTACTACTGCTATGTAAATTTGGTTTGCTTCCTTTTCTTTTCTGCTCTTCTTGGAATTTCGTCCGAATTTGGAAGTGGTTCAGCAAGCAAAGCTGGCAGAATTTTCAGTGCAACTGATGAATTTTATATAAGCATTAAAGAGAGAGAGAGCAATTGAATGAAACGACATGAGAAGTAGCGTGTCCTGTCTGCTTCACAGCATTCTATTTGCCACATTTGTAGGAACACCAAAACGTGAAGTCACCCGATTGTTCCTATATTAAAATCACAATACTGGATTTTTTTATTTTACATTTTCTGTAGAAGTTAATATTTACTAGATGAGTATTTAACATTTACAGGAGCCTATCGTTGTCAAATAACGAGTATTAAATTTTGACCCAAAAAAAATAAGGAGTATTAAATTTATATCATATGTCATCGTATGGCTTAATTATTCATGTACCCTCATTTCTTGATATTTAAATAAATGAATAGATCTTATATATACTGACAGTATATATATATATATATATATATATATATATATATATATATATATTGATCTAGTTATAGAAATAGTATATCGTATAGCCTTCTTATTCATTTTCCCACCATTTTTTTGGTGCTTAGATAGATTCGTAATTTGTTGATTACCGTAGTTTAAAGGATATTCCGGTCTTGATGGTTTAAAAAGAAAAAAACATTGGCTAGTGCTATTTCTACACCTAGGTCAATTTTACTCCAAAACCAAAACAGCTGATTTAAAGGGTTATTTTGACAATTATAATTAAAAAAACTAGTGTCATAAAAAATTTGACCGTGAAATTGCAAAAAAAAAAAAAAAAAGCAAAGAAAAAGTTTTCCACAAGAAAACCAACCAATTGGTGGAATTCCAAACAAGCTACTTGGAAGGGGCATTTTCATGATGATTTGACTAAGAGCCCACTTGAGTAGAAAACACCAGTTCGTTTGTTCTTATCTGGGAAAAAATGAAGAAGATAGCCAGCTTCTCATGGCCAAGTTCTTTTGTATTCTCGCCTTCTTTGATTAAATATGTTGGTAAGGATCCTTTGATTAGGATATATATCTAAGAAATATATAAAGTGTGCAAATCAATCAAGAAATCATCGAAAAAAATATGGTGCATAACATTTTATTAATTATCACCCACAAACTCGAATGACAAACTGCCAAAAAATGTCATCAATTCCGGTCTGCCACAAACTGATTATTGAGTGCACAGGTAGGAAAAAACATTCAAGATTAGGATTCATTTGATTGTTACTCTTTTAATAACTTATCACATCATGTCCGCGTCCGTGTTATGCTGTCTTCTTCGTGCGCAATTATGCACACACACGGCAGCCCCAAAGCCTGCTTGTTACATCTGATCGTTCGTTTTCAAATTTCAATCACAAGAAATCCTTTTTTTTTCTTTTTTTTTTTCGACCGGAAGGTATCCTGACCTGGCCAGAGTCACATGAGCTGACCAGACTACTCCTCCCAAGCTGTGAGAGCCCGCCCCAAGAATCGTAGCACGGCAGCTTCCGAGGGTCGAACCTGAGACCTACTCCTAAAGAAGAGACTACAAAAACCGTCTGAATTACCCAGGGAAGGGGGAATCACAAGAAATCCGTTTGGATTACTATTTTCTGAAATTTTTATCTATAAAAATATGTAGCGCAGTTATTTGATTTATGTAAAGTAAAATGATATTTAAAAAATATATTTACGAAAATATAATTTTTTTTTTTGAAAAAAAAAATAGCAGTCAAAACTAGGCCGAGAAAGCGATAAGTACGACCAATTAATGATGGTTTGAGTGCAAGACGAAGATGATGAATTGGTTTTTTAATAGTTCAGAGATAGTGGGTTGGACATTATATAATCAACCTTATCTTGATCCATCCAGCAATTATCTGGGAGGAGAATTTTGATTTCTGATTATAAAAACCGTTTAGATTCAAATTCGTTATAGGGGTATTTATTTGTCCTACGATTGCTTGTTTTGTGGCGTCCAAGTTTCTGTCCCAATTTTTATGGCTGGCTGTGCCTCAATTCAAATGAAGGGGGGTGTAAGCATCCGTGGGTCAGAAGAACTTGATTGAAAATGTTAAATTTATAATAGCACAAAAAATTGCAATCTCTAGATATTTGAGAACAGATTATAGTGTACTGAGAACCTGATCGAGAATGCTAAGACCAAATTTTTACTTTTCTTTTCTTTTTGGGTTCTGTTCTCGTTAATTAGCTGCCATTTGTATTACTACTTCAATTCACAAGCATCTTGATTGCCTTTTTTGTTCTCAGTTTGATGAATCCAATCCAGTATGTTACACGTTCGATAATTCCCTAGAATAAGATTCTAAGGTAACAATCAATCTTGCTACGGATCAAATTTACAGTCAAATCACCATCAACTTTTAAGCAGTTTTTCATTTATGAACAACAGAATTGAATTTGAAACACCCAATGGAACCAAAACTTCCCGAGCAGCCCAATTAAAATGGAACCATAAAATTGTCGTCCAATTCTACAGAGACTCCTATGAAAAAAGTGCGAAATTTTATGGTCCCCGAGCTGGAGCAAAGCAGAAACAGCCACCCGCCTGGTCTTCTGGTATCATTCCTCCTCCTCTACTTGTGTCAATAGCTTCTAACATCCTCACCACTTCATCCATGTCAGGTCGTTTTTCCGGATTCGCATCCCAGCATCTTTTCATGATGTTTGCCAGAGAACTCGGACAACATCTTGGGATTTCAGGCCTCAGGTTCTGGATATGCCACAACATAAAGGTACGAGTCACTTTGTGTTGAAGTCAACAAAACATGAAGGAAGAAAACGATTGAGATGAACGCTTAAAGCATTTGTCACCACAGACGCCAAATATTTCATGAATATTCATTCATGTTCAAGCATCAGGTGACATGAAACATACAGTCAAACTCCAATAGATGGCAGATGCTCATTTTCAAAAACTTCCATGTTCAACTGGAAGACTGTACAATGTAGCTAATCGGATTTCTTTTAGCAGCTCAAGCGACAACAAGGGAAAACAGGCACAACGAGATCATTAATGACACAAGGAAGGTCTCAGTCAAACATACCTGTCTAACAACTGCAGAAGAAACCTCGGCAAAGCTAAGATCAGTATAGGGCAAATCACAGCAATAAATTTCCCACAAGCAAATGCCGAAGCTATAGACATCACATTTTCTGTTATAAGGCTTGCCATCAAGAACCTACACAAAAGCCCATTTTGAAGGAACTGGAAAATAAAGTTGTATAATCCAAATTGGTTTCTAGTTTTATAATTTAAGCATAAAAACAATATTTACATTATCCAGATTACTTGCTCTGTGGTACGGGTGTGTGAGTCTGAGAGGATATGTGTTTGTTGTGAGTGCATGGACATGCAACCATGTGTCTTTGTAAGAAAAAGAGAGAGAGAGTGAGAGAGAGAGATTCAAATAAATCAGCTCCTGCATACATGAAGAATAAAATGCAATGAAATGAATGCAGTAGACAAACTAAGCCTACATCCAACTTCTTTAGCACATTGGACTAACCATTCCATTCAATATTACCAGGGACAAGAGTAGGCTGCACTCCTACCAGCCCATACAAGGTTTTACCGCCACTAAGTAATACCTGCAAGTACTATACATTCTGATGTGCCCTCTGGAGCTCAAAAAGAAACCAACAGGCTCATATTGCTAGTAAGAATACCTTGGTCTGAGCAGAATATCATGGGTGGAGTGGAAGGGGCAAGGTGGGAAAAGGAAAAGAGACAATATCTTGGGCTGGTAAACTAGCTTGTGCTTTCCTTAAACAAGCAAAGTACAGAAGTAAAGAGAGGAAAACGTTATGTAAGCTTGTTCCCAGTAACAAGTGCAGTGGGTTTACTAATGAATAGAGAATGGGGAGCAAAAATGAAAGTGTCTGATGCTTAAATTTGAAGGATTTTGTATCTGTATTTTTAAGATTGTTGCCTTTGATGTTGTTGTTCAAAACAGAACTTCTTAACAGGGAGAACGAGTACCTCTGGGGCCATGTATCCAAGGGTTCCAGTTTCACCAGTCATGTCCTGGGGATTCTGCGCTTCCACACGAGCAACACCAAAATCCGCAATCTTTAATGTTCGATATGTATCAAGAAGCATATTTTCAGCTTTGACATCACGGTGTACAATCTTCTTAGAGTGCAGATAGCTCAATCTGGAAAAGTTGAACAAAGTTAAGTTAGACCTGTCTATAGTTCATTGGCATATCCCTCAAACAGGAACTCACCCTCTAGATAGATCCAATGCAAGTTGAATCACGACTCTAAAGGCAAGTTTCTTTTTCCTATTTTTGAATAAGAAATTCTTTAATGTTCCTCCAGCGAGAAATTCCACCAGAACACAACATGCCCTCGATGGAAGGTTTGTATAACCTTCAGAAGGGTTTTTTGAAGGTATCTTCAAATTGGAAGTCCCCATTGATGCACCAACAAACTGCATATAAGTGAGTATGAACATCAAAATTTGAAGCACAAAATCAACTTGTTTTACTAGATTGGGCAATCACAAATCCTTATTAAAGCTCAGGACGTTGATCTTAAATAACAAAGTATAATATGAAGGAAGCAAGTTTGTACTTTTGTCACATTTGGATGGTCAAGTTTGTGCCAGACAGCAACCTCCTGCCGAAATGATGCCCTCAAAGCAGCAGTTTCAGCGACAGTGGCCATGCCGTCCTCTCCCCAGTCCAATAGCTTGACTATGTAACAAATAATTATAGATTGCTTGATATGAGAAACATGTCCAAGAAATAGAATCATTCTCAACTGGACTCAAATGATACTAGAAGCACCTCTAATTCACAGTATGAGTTCAAAGTCCATGGCAAACAAGATTTAATACTAACTGCAAAGCACAGAATGCAGATTTTTTGCTTTAAATCTTTCCATCCCTATCAGAATTCAGAAAGACCCGATCATCATCAGAAGATGCGACAATTAGTCCAACATTGTCAGAAACCAAACTCAGCACTTCAAATTACCTCACAAATGATAAAATTAAAAAATCTGTCCTCAGAATGTATTAAACCAAAGTTTTCAATGACTTCAGAGAAGTATCAGCAGCAATCAGATGAATAATCATCACATTTCCCAGTGATCAGCATCTAAGACACTCGCGTGCTCAACAAAGAACTTGTCGGGTGTACATTGAAAAGGATCAAATAACAGAACTATAACATACTCCTCACACCCATTAAGAAGAGTCCTAAATGACTCAGAAAAAGAAAAAAAAAACTATAGCTTTATATAATCGACAACGAGACAATTATAAAAATTAAATTATAAACCATAATCATGCATAGAGTAAATGTTTACCTGCAACATCTCGATTATCATAGGTACCACGATAAACGGTCCCATAAGTGCCCTGAGCTACAAGATATCTTATTTCCAGCTTAGATGGATCAATTTCCCATGCCTCTTTAGGCTTTTGATTGTTCTCTACATTTCTTGACCAAACACGGCTCAGATGCTTCTCCAATTGAACATCCAAACTTTTCAGATCAACTTTATCTGCACGAAAGATCATATCTTTGCTACTAATGCTTCCAATCCCGGTGGCTGATATATTTTTCTCACTAACACCTCCTGTTCCCTTCAATTTGGAATCCAAATTTCCATTTGATTCTCTAAATTCTCAGTTTCTGGGACCTCCACACCACCAGAGCTTGTTTTCAGATCCATTTTTAAAGATCAAAATCAGTAACTCTCAACACCAAATATAATCTAGCCTTGATTGATCACTCAAAAACCACACAACTATCAATGAATTCAACCAACAAAAATAATGAAAGTTGAGATTTTTATGCCAATATTCTAAAAGAATGATAAAAATATATCTAAAATCTTTTCGCCATCATCAATTGAGCCTAAATAAATAGAAGAAACTCAAGAAGAAGAGCAAGATATTGCAGTAAACCAAAAAAAAAAAAGGCAAGCCCTCCTTCAAATTTAGACTACAATTGCCAAAACATTCTTATACCATCAAAAGAACAATTCTTTTTTCAATAAATATAATAATTTCTCCAAAATTGACCTGAAATGTAATACTTTACACAAATTCAACGCTACCTAATAAAAAGAAATTTGACTTTCAGCTATTCAAAACCCTAAGGTTGCCGGCACCATTCATCATTTCTTTTTCATACATGATGACAACAATAAAATACAATTAAATAGAAAAGGTAAACCACCAAAGAAAACGACCCAGTTCACAACTTGCAAAGACAAACGAAAAATGACCCACCAAATACACAAATAAATAAATATTCACATCCAAATTTTAAAAAAGAAAAAAAAAAAACCCAAAACAAAATCTTAAACAAGAGAATGTAGACAACCCAGAAACCAAAAAATAAAACCCATCAAGAAAAATCAAATCTTTTCAACAAAAAAGCCCCATCTGCTAGAGAGACACGAAAAACTTGCCCAAGTTCTGATTATTCCTTTGGAAACTAAAAGAAAATTCAGAAATCAGTTTGTATGGCATATATTAAGGGAGATTATGAATCAGTGAATATGTGTGGAGTTGAAGAAAGCAGGGAATAGAGGATTCTACGAGAGAAAGAGAGAGAAGCGCGGGGGCTCCTTTTGAAAAAGGTACTCCGTTCTTTTTCTTTTTTCTTCTTTTTTGGGTTTTAGGTGTTTTCTGTTGGAATGAGAATTTTTTTTTTTTTTCTGATGTGTGACCGACGGCTTTCTGAACAGTATGCGAAAAAAAGAGGAAAAGAACAAATGTACTATTCCGTGCATGTCCTTACAACCAATTTACCTGTAACTAGGTACAACTGGATGGACTATTTTGTCCTCGGTTGGTGGGTTGGTCACTTGGCTTCATAGGAAGATGCTGAGGACGGCTCGATCACAATCTTCTTCATTTTTAGTATTATTTTAATGTTGTTCTTGGTTTTTCTTGTTCGATCTGTCCAAGTGGTGATCAACGTAGATGTCAGTTTCAAGCAAGTTGAACTGAAAAAATGTTTATATGTTAGGGAACAAATGGATAATAGATTTAGTAATAGTCAAAAGTGTTTGCCCCTTCCAAGAAATCCTTCATTGTTTTAATTTTTCAATTTTTTAGGGATAGGTATTTTTTATCCACCCTCGTAAATTTGAAAATCACTTTATCATGCAGTTTTAGTAATCAACATAGCAAATTGGGTTTAGTAATATTTAGTAATTCATAGATCAAACAATTAATGTTAAGTAAAAACGCCTTGAAAGATGAGTAACTTCTCGTGTTTTTTAATTTTTTTTTAAATAAGGGATATTTGGATATTTTGTCTTTTAATACTATTCTTGTTAAATCTTCAATCACACGAAAGTGGCGCATTATCCTAATCTTCCATTTTAGAGGCTATATTATTTTCAAATCTAATTGAGAGATTAAAATCAAAGGTGATTAGTTACGTATTTATTGGGCAAGTTATAAATCGTCACTTAGAGAAAAATGCACAAAATATAATAATTTTCTTAGCAAAAAATAGGAAGAACAATTCTATCTACCCCTGTGTAGAAAAAAAAAAAAAAAAAAGAAATACGACGGAGCAGATAGTTGCATATGTGTTTGGAAATATTGTTTGAAATAATTATTGTATCATTTTTTTAATACAATATAATATATATATATATATAAGATAAAAAAATGGTTAAAATATATTTAAAAAATAAGTTAAAAAATGTGTTTATCCGAGCGAATTAAAAAAATTTAGCTATCCAAAGTTCCAAACACCCCATCGATTCCTGAGCAGCGTTGAGGTGTGATCGCAATTTTGCTATACTTCACACTTCCTACGGCTTTTTCTCATACGTCGGTCTGGAACACTTTTAAGTCTAGGCCTGTAAAACCAAGTAGGCCGCGGTGTAGCCCAATAATATAACCCAAGAGGGTCCACCTCTTTGAACCAAATCTTGCTGTGAACAACAGTGAGAGTTTTTATTTTATTTTATGATTATTAGAGTTATTATTACTTCTTTTTTTTTCCATTTTTGCAATGTTTTATCACAAATTACAAACACAGAAATATATAATTTGCCATTTCTTATATGCAATACTACACCAGCTCGAAACCAAAATGGAATGGTACGAGTACTGACGGAGATTTGATGACTTTTTATCTTTTTTTTTTTTTTTGGGTCTCAACGATAAGATTCCTATAACCTAATCTAACCTAATCTACGGGAAGGGAGAACAGACTCGATATGAGTAGAAACTCTATCAAAGATGGTCAACGAAGACCGTCACATATAGTGACAATTTTTGGTGGGAGGTCAACGAAGGCTGGGTAGTGACCTGATGACTTTTTATCATTCTAAAGAGATTTTTGCTCCTCTCTTTTTCATTTTAGATTATGTGTTTTAATTGTCTACGTTGGACCATTCATTTAACCAAAACATTAGATCTTAGGTCCTTTCCTTTTGTTTTTATATTATTTAAAATCCACCAAGAATTTCTTGTTTTTGTTGTTAATGATGTTTTTGAGCTTATGAGTTCTAATCATGGTTTTTGTTGGACAATTTAATCTTACCATAAATGGATCATATAAAATGGTTAACATTTTGACTTGTAACTTCTATATTGCCCTTGATTTGATGGAGATTTTTGTGGCAACAAAAAAAAAATAATTGTTGTTGTTGCCGTAAAATTATAAAATTAGACAGTACAATATTCAAAGAGTAAGAACTAAGTTCAAAATTGAGAGACAAAATTGACATGCGCACAAAAAGTTGAAGGACTAAACTGGCGATTTCTTCATAGTAATATAATACTCAATCCCCGCCGTCAAGTCACCCTCTGCTCCGTGTCGCACCGCATCTCCGCCGAGAAAGCGGGAGCCACGCCACCACCTTCTGCCACAAGTTAACGGAGAAAATGATTCTCGCACACCACAAGCTCTCCGCTTTCCACTGCATTTTTCAATTATCATCGACTTAAACTATCTTCAAAAGCCAAACTTTCCCCTAAGAGTCATAATCAGACCAAACGATGGCGTCTTTGCTCTTCCGGCGACGACTCCGAGCTTCCATTTCTCCTTCTACCCTGCTACGAGGTACTTTAGTTATCTATTCTGTACTGTTCTCAATTTCAATTTTTGGTTTTTTCCTGTTTTGCTGGTAAGTTTTTTCTTTTTTCTTTTTAAAAAAAATTTCTTTTGGGCTTATAGCATAGATTAACTGGAAATGATTGACAATTTATTTAAGAAAGAATAACTTTATACAATTTACGTTCGTATAATGATCAGAGAATGAAAGAGAGCTGTTATATTAGTTCTTTTCTTGGGACTGTTTTAGGATCTATTGGTTCATAAATGGCTGATAAAACTCTAGAATTGGATAAAAGTTAAAGCTTTTACATGTTAGTAATACCCATGGTTCTGAAGACTCTAACTTTTTAGCTCATTTTTTCTTGTCTAGTTTTGGTTTTCAATGAATTAGGGAGCAAATGATGTGTTTTGTTTCTTTTCCATTCAGCGATGCACTTGCAAAAATGGCACCATTTTGGGCTATTTTCCTGTCACCTACATTGTACATAAGCAGTGGAAAGCACTTGACCAGTGTCACCGGTAAACACACCAATGAAAGAGAGAAAAAGAGAAGAAGTGAAACTGATTTTGTCACGTAAATGGTGTATGTATATGCACTTAATAGCCCATTTGAGCTTTGTACGTGCGCTTGAATGGCGTAAATGCTAGATAAGTAACATTGTGGTGTTGGTGATGTATTTGTAATGTTATATTGTCTTGAATTCTTTCCAAAGGGTAGAATATGTGGTTTATTACCAAGTTTTGAGCTGAACAAATTTTGGACATGATGAAGCTTGTATACACCTTACAATGATCTAGTATTGGGATACAAAAGAAGTGGTTGAAAGGTTGAAATAGAAGGCAAAAAAATTTGGGAAACTTTGTTATCTCCTTAATCATTCCAGGAGTTGATAGAAGAACGAAAGAATTCATCCTCACTTTTAAGTTTTTAAAATTGCAATAATCTTGATTAACCTTTCACTAACTTGAAATCTGGTATTACTAGGTTATGTAATATAAGCCTGAACTAGCAAGACTTGCTATCTTACTTGACTTACATTTAGCAGGCTTATTCTGCTGGGAATATTTTGGAAAATACTTCAAGCTAAGAGTTGATACCGGCTTGGTTGTTTGTGATTGCATCAATGTTCATATTCTTACAGTAAGGTGATCTTTGGATCGATGCTGTAGCATTTGTACTGTGATTGGGAAGATCATTCAATATTTGCTTCTGAGCATTTTATATTCCTGATACACTTATCGTTAGCAGTCTGGTTTATCTTAGCAGATTATATACCTACCCTGAGATATGAGGAAAAGTTGCATTGAAGTGTCATTGTTAAATTTGATTGTCACGATTCATGATATTCTTTCACCCTCATATATATTTATATTTTCTATTCAGATAAAGTTGAACTCTACGGGCTTCCTTTCAAATCAAACATCGTGGTGTCGTTTGGTATTTGTAATTGCTTTAGGCAGCTCAGTAGTTCTGGTGATGCAAAGAAATTTGACTTCACAGACCTCACGTAAGCATCATTTGCCATGGTGTCACTGCTATGCTGTTTAATTTTATAGCAAACTTTCATTTTTTAGGGACTTTATATGTATTTCTTGAATTGTAATGTACTTTTCCCATATGCTGTTTGAGTTTGCTATTGTCCCCATATTGTTGGGTGCACTTTTTTTACATCATTTCCTCTCTTGAACTTTAGCCGTCCTCATACTTGGTACCCAAATGCTCGAAGGAAAAAGCGGAAGATCTTTTTACATGTTGGTCCAACAAATAGTGGTAAAACACATCAGGCTTTGAAACAATTGGAGACGAGTTCTTCTGGTATTGAAATTCAGCAGTATCTTCATATTTACTGTCTTAAATTAGGAGTTGCCAGCTGAATTAGGAATTTGATGCAAAATATGCTTCAGGTATTTATTGTGGGCCATTGAGACTTTTGGCATGGGAGGTGGCGAAAAGATTGAACAAGGCAAATGTTCCTTGCAATCTGATTACTGGACAAGAAAGGGAGGAGGTAGATGGTGCGAAACATAAAGCTGTTACAGTGGAGATGGCTGATGTTACATACAACTATGATTGTGCTGTTATTGATGAAATTCAGGTCAGCTAACAGCTTGGACTGATATCATTATGGCTAAATTTAGATGGACATTATGATCATTGTGATCATTATGATCAATTTAGATGGACTGATATCATTATGATCATTATGGCTAAACAACACCAAATATTGTTTTTCATTGGAAATTTTACAAGATGGACAACATGGGAAGTTTTTTTTAATTTCTTTGACCTTTTAAACAATGACAAATATTTTGGGACACATATAATTGGTAATCATGAACATCTAACTGACATTACAATGCAGATTTCGATGGCAGGACTCTTTATATCTTTATGCATTTTGAGAAACTCTTTATATGTTTCATTTTGTTATTAGCATCAATCTGAAGAAAAGTATGCTGTAAGAATACTTCATGTTATCGTCTATGTTATCCAAGACAAACATCATGATCATGGTGCCTCCTAAACTCTGACATATATTTTGGTGCAAAACTTTACCCTTTTTTTGGGTATTCAGCTACAAAATTAAGTTTCCCTCTTCTCTTTCTATATTGATATCATAATAGTTGCCAGCTTGTCATTCTCATGAACTCCATCCTTGCTGCAGATGTTAGGGTGCAAGACAAGGGGATTCTCATTTACTCGTGCTTTACTAGGAATTTCTGCAAATGAGCTACACCTTTGTGGAGATCCTGCTGCTGTTCCTTTAATTGAAGAAATACTTAAAGTTACTGATGATGATGTCAAGGTATTACAAGTGCATATCTATTTGATGACTAAGGCATGTCTCTTTCATATGAGTTTGGTATAGCCGCTTGAGGATTGATCTTTTAAATATGAATATCACTTCTTGCTGTTCAAGTAATGTTGATCCCAAAGTTATAAAACAAAGTATATCTGTTTTTCTATATCTTGGAAAATATTATTATGTAATAGGAGAAGTTAGTTTAAAATGGGGTATCGTGTGATTGTGATGGAAAACTATGACATTGAGAATGCAGTACCTTTCCAAGATTGTTGTTATGTATCTTGCAGTCAGGCTCATTTCCTGCATACATAGTTTTTGGCATTTTAAAGATATGTTTGGTTTTTCTCCATGCTGGAATCTGCTTTGTTCAACATTTTGCTTTCTCAATCTCTTAATAGGGATAAGTGCCGTTGAATATATTTTCATCTGATCCATATATTACATGATTTGTCATCTAAATGCCAGTTCCTATACTTTTGCTTAGTTCTTTTCTTTATTTTCTTTCTTCTTTAGGTTCAACACTATGACAGGCTTTCACCTCTCATTCCTCTGAAGGTCCCTCTTGGATCTTTCTCCAATATTCGCACAGGTGACTGCATTGTGACGTTTTCAAGGCAGGAGATATACAGATTAAAGGTTGGTAATAAGTTTTTAACATGCTTTGTGCTAGCCCAAAGATTCCCTTTCAATTCCATAACTATATGCCCACAATATGGGATTTATGAGCTTGATTTGAACAACAATAAAATTTGTGTTTCGTATAACCTATTTTTTAAGCTAGCAGAAAGTTGCTTAAGTGCAATGATCTATGCATGTAATGAGCCTCTTACTGGCTTAGTAGCCTAGTGTATGAGTTTTTAGTAAGTACTAATATTACAAGTTGATTTTGGTGGATGTTTTGTGATACACGAAAAAGGTTTTGTTGCTTGTTTGCATCTTTTTTTTTTTTTTGGTGTGATCTGGCAGGTTTAAATGATGCAATAATCATTTTAGAACCACCTTGGTTTGGCTAGTTGTGGGTATTGTACTTTTGTATAGCCATCTATACCTGTTAAGTTGCATGTGGTGGCAAAACTGTATCATCTTGAATTACATCTTTTGCTTCTGCTTATACTATCTCGATCATACTTTTTCTTCTTCAATGGTAACAGAAACAAATCGAAGCTGGGAAAAAGCATCTTTGTTCTGTAGTTTATGGTTCATTGCCGCCTGAGACTCGAACAAGACAGGTTTAAGTTTCTCTCTTCTGAGTGTCTAACTAGAATAGGATTTCTGATCCTCTTGCTACAAGCCTAACTTGATCACTAGCAATTGCAATTGTTGTCATCTGCACAACTTTATTTATTTCTTTTTCTGTTTAATTATTAGCTGAAAGGGATTTTCTGTCACCTAGTTATTGTCCTATCTGGAGTCCTTTGCAATAGAAATATTTACTTTTTTTTTATTTCTCCTATACTGGACACAATTTACTATACTTCAAAGTTTGAAGTTTATGGTTTATCAAACGAGCATATCAGTGTAACAATCTATGATATGGACTGCAATATTTTATTTGATAGCATCTTTTCTTGCCAAAATCAATATGCTTCTTTAGATGATGATCATTCTTTTTTCTGCTACTAATAAATTAGCAATCAGCTGAGCTAATATATTTATCAGAATTGCAGGCAACCAGGTTCAACGATGCTGAAAGTGACTTTGATGTTCTTGTAGCTAGTGATGCTATTGGGATGGGTCTTAATCTTAACATCTCTAGAATCATATTTTCAAAGTTGGAAAAATTTGATGGTATGGAGACACGGGAACTTACTGTTCCAGAGATCAAACAAATTGCAGGTATGTGACACACACTGCCTGATTTATGTTCTATTTTACCATCAATGTCAATCTTAATATATGCGCAGGATTTTAGTAATAGTTTTAGTCTTGCATCTTTCTGAGGGTGGCGTATTAAAACAAACCGAAATTGGAGGAAGATTGTTCATGTGCTGGTTATTGTTCTTTCTGTTCATGTTTTAATAATCAGCAATAATCATTTGCTTTTGCTTTATGATTAAATGGAGAAATAACCATGCA